GATCTCAGATCTCAGCCTCTTGAGTAGCTAGGACTAAAGGTATGAGCCAGTGGTGCCCAGCACAGATTTGTAAATACAATTTTGTATGACTCTTGTCACTAAATATTGTTAGCATTTTTTCCATGCTGTTAAATAGTCTTCACTAACATTCATTATGTTGACTATATACTAGTCTATTGTATAGTTATAAGTTTTATATATAGCTATAAATTATAGTTTATTTAACCAATTTTCAACTGTTGAACTTTTAGATTATTAAGCATAAAGTTTATACACATTTTTTACTGTTTCTTTAGGATAGAGTCCCAGAAGTGGAATTAGGGGATCAAAGGATATATACTTTCTTAAAGCTCCTAACAGATACTGCCAAATTGCTTTTCAGAAAGCTGTTGCCATTTTATACTTCCAACATTGTCCAGCATGTTTTTCTACCAATATAGATTTGTGTAAAGTATAATTAAAGTGGAACATACAATACTTGAATTATTGTTGCAGTTGGAAAAGCATGACTACAACACAGACATATGACAAAGAAGTGAAGTGATACACTTGGATTTTTCTTTTTTTGGGTCCAGTCGTGGGGCCTGAACTCTGGGCCTGGGCACTGTCCCTCAGCTCTTCAGCTCAAGGCTAGCGCTCTACCACTTGAGCCACAGCGCCACTACCGGCTTTTTTCTTTTTGCTTATGTGGTGCTGAGGAATCGAACCCAGGGCCTCATGCATGCAAGGCAAGCACTCTACCACTGAGCCACCTTCCAAGCCCTACACTTGGATTTTAAACTTGTCAAAATTAGCCTTGTTATTACTTACTCTGTTTTCACTGTATTTGATGTTGGTATAATTTGGGGAGGGGAAAGGGAAAAAAAACAAATTGTTTAAATAGGGATAGGGATACAGCTGGAACCATTGCAACAGCGAGATGTACAAAATGCTATGTTGAAAAATGAAATTTACAACTTTGGTGGGGGAAGTGTAGTCATGGAGATGGGAGGGCAGGGATGGTAGGGGAAAAACAAAGGAGGAGGCAACAATGCTTGATAAGAAATGTACTTAGTCCTTTGCTCATGTAATTGTAACCCCTCTGTATGGTATTTTCACAATAAAAAAAAACTTATTAATAATAAAAAAAACTAAGTCTTGTACCTGTTTTGTCTATGGTTCTATTCCAGCACGCAGAACAGCAGCTGGCAATAACTTTCACTTAATAAACATTTGTTGAATGAATTAACACAGAATCTTCTCTTTCAAATGGTTTTTCAGCCTCAAGTAGGTTTAAACACTCTTAGTTCAGAGGAAATATGGCTAATTAATCAACAGCCAACTCAATTCTGAAATTCTATTGCAACTTTGTAAACTCAGTTTTAATGATGATACAGAAAGATAGGTTGAGCTTAAAGATGAATAGACATACTTAAATGTACATACCTCAATACTAGTTACCAAGTGTGTTTCTGTGTATGTGCATGTTTGTGTGTGTCCATCCATTCTGGTTGCAATTTGTCAACATTTTTAGTACTGCCCAAATAGGTGTTTTGTTTTGTTTTGCTGTTCTGCAGATTGAACACAGTGCTTTGTGCATGCCAACCAGGTATTCTACCACTTGACCCACCTCGCACCACAAAAAGCCTTTGATATTTTTCATAGGAAGTATGTAGGTAGCAGTTTGTGTAATATAATTTTTTTAGTCAAAAACAGCACAAAATTCATTTTATAAACCATAATATGATCAAAACAAAGTAGTAGTCAATCACTCAGCTTTAGTTCATTCTCCTGGTCTCATTAAGATTCCCTCCAATCTTCCACAGTTTCTATGTAGTACATTGTGAGGCACTGCCCAATCAACTTGGCATTAACAATGCTATTGGTGGAAAACAATCAACCATCTGTTATTATAAACACACTTGAGCTACACTAGATGAGGGATAGGCAAGTTATATCCCATGATGTAAGTCTAGCTCACCACCTGTTTTTGTATGAACCATAGCTAAAAGTTTTTTTTTCTCTTTACTATTTTCTTACATTTTTAAATGGTTGGGGAAAAATCAAAATACTTTGTGAACTCTATGAAATTGAAATTCCAGTATCTTATATAAAGTTTCATGAGAACATAGCCATGTTCATGTTTCCATACTAGCTATCTGCTAGTAACAGAGACACATGACCCACAAGTTCAGGATATATATCTTTTATGAAAATCTGTTGACACCCTTAAATGGGTTCTTGGAGGCAATGAAGCTCCCTACTAGGTTGTTGGGGTTTTTTTTTTGGTAAGTTTAGGGATATTAATACAGGGAGGATGATACATCTTGCATAGTATATACAAGGATCAGATAAGGCAGAGATATAAATCCATGACGGTTGCCTTAGATAGGATGTACAAGCCTGGAAAATCTGAGGGGGCTAATTCAACTGAAGCTGCACCTGAGGAATGCAAAGCAACATACATTTCAGAAGCTAAGGGACATTTACTGGAGACCCAGAGACCTAAAAGCCAAGTGGAGCATGACCAATGGTATCTTCGACAACAGGCAAACTGAAGTGTATATGATTCAGTGACAGACAAGTTCCCCACAGTGCTCTATTCCCTTAGTAGATATCCACATAATAAATGCAGACATCAATCAAGACTGGATCTGAAAGGAATGCTCTAGAAAGGAGGCACCAGGTTAATTTCTTCTCAATTATAGCTTTTTTTTGTTCTTTTTTGATACAGGCTCTCACGATGTAGCCCACACTTCCTTTTAACTCGCAAACCTCCTGCCTTAATTCGCAATCCTCCTGCCTTATTACAGGCATATGCCACCATGCCCAGCTAAATGATGCCATTTTAATAAGGAATTCAGAGCCAGGGGTAGAATTCAGACACTGTAGAAACATCATGTTTTTCTAAGTTAAAGATTTGGTGAACATTTTGTCTTTCTTTGATCATTATTATTGGAGTAAATGGAGCAAAGTAGGGTGCAATGATGGGAGACCAGGAAGAATTACATAAAATCAATGACGGATGTTGTGACCTAAAAGGTACTTTGAGTCACCTAACTTTCTATTTGAATTTTGAAGGAGAATGGGGTGAGATGGAGGTGAAAAGGAAGACAAACCTGAAAGCCAAAGAGAGCCCCAGGTTACATAAAGCTTGAGAATTAATCAAGGTTTACAGATAGCCAGCTCTCCTCCTAACATTCCACAGAAATCCTGGCTTTATGTTCTGAAGTTAGGTGGAACATCTGCCAGGCAAAACAGAGCTATTGAGAGAACAGTGTCTGTGTGTTATAGCTCTGTATCTCTTCCTTGAGAAACTGGTAACAATGGTCCAATCTGGGGAGTATAACAAAAACAAAGACAGGCGCTGGTAGCTCAAGCCTGTACTCCTAGCTCCTCTGGAGGCTGAGATCTAAGGATTGATGTTGGAAGCCAGCTCAGGCAGGAAAGTATGTGAGATTATTTCTATTTATATTTTTTGAAAGTTCATCAGAAATGGCATGCATTTTAGAATAGCCTAGGACTGGCCAGGGTGCGTGCACACACACACACACACAAGACCAAGAACATAAACAAGAACAGGTCATATCTCTATGTAACCCCCCTCCACTTCTTGAAGCTAGGAAGGCAACATGAGACTAAAGCTAGAGTAGGCCACTTCTGTTCCAGTGGACCACAGATGAAGTCAAGAGCTGAAAGGACAATCCAAAAATCCAAGGAAAGAGGAGTTGTGAGGTGGATGAGTTAAAAAAAAAAAAAAAAGGCAATTCAGTATAGCCAGTGGTCAAAAGCAGCTGTTGGAGGTAAAGTCTACAACCAGAAAACAAAGTACCAAAGAATCAGAGAACAGCCAGCCAACTAACTGGTGAAGAATAAATTGACAGATACCTGCAGATTCTATCATGAGAGCCACAGCTGGATCTGCAGATGCCTGGGAAACAAGGTGCAGATCGGTAAGAAAGTGGATTTGGTGGGTGGCACATAAAAAGTACTTTTATAAAAGAACTCTCCTGTTTGGGGTTATTCCTAAGAGCTCATATTTAGCTTGGGTTTAATGATTCGTAACATCCACAATGAACATGTTTTTCTCTAGGTGAATATTACAGCAGTCATTTTACTTCCCCCAAATCTGAGATAATTATATAAGTGAGTTATTATAAACCTATTCACAGACTCAGGGGAAGCAATTATAAACTATTGGTATAAAGACATAATATCAGTGGCAGAAGACAGGAAACAAATTATCCCAAATTGCTCATCTCCAACACCTTTATCTTCCTCTGGGCCAAGCTGGGCTTAACTCACGATCTTTCTGTTTCATCCTTCCAACTGTTGGGATTACTAGTGTGCATCACCATGTCTGGCTCTATCTTTCCCTTAAAACTTCACTATTTTAGCCAATGATGCCATCATTTCCTACTGATACAAGTTCCAAGTCTCATGCTGTTCCACTTCCTGGGAAGTTCTAATCTCAAAGCCCTTCTTCATGAATCTGGTTCAAGAACTACCTCCTCCATGAAGCCTATACACCACTGGTGATCTTGTTTCAGAATTTCACACTGGATGCCCAGTAGTGTTCTAAAAACAGCACATTCTCAAAAGACACTTCATATTATTGGTGTTGGTTACTAAAACCAGGTCATTGTGTGGGAACTGGTACTAGACCCCAGATTTCCTTATATCAGGGTCTGGAATGTCACCTGGTCTTTCTCTTTTAAAAAAGAATTTTATTTTATTGTAAAGGTGATGTACAGATGGATTACAGTTATATAAGTAATGAGTACATTTTTGTCAAACTGGTCTTTCTGTCTGTCTGTCTTTTTTTGGGGGGGGGAGTTGGTTGTGGGGCTTGAACTCTGGGCCTGGGCACTGTCCCTGAGCTCTTCAGCTCAAGGCTAGCACTCTATCACTTTGAACCACAACACTACTTCCAGTTTTCTGGTAGTTAATTGGGTAAGAGCCTCACAGACTTTCCTGCCCAGGCTGGCTTTGAACCTTGCTCCTCAGATCTAAGTCTCCTAAGTAGCTTTACTGCTAAGTAGGATTACAGGTGTGAGCCACCAGCACCCGGCTGGTCTTTCTCTTAAAATACCACAGTGTTGGCCTATAACCTGACTTACATATTGTAGAGCCTTCTCTTCCAGCAGAGGGGACACTCAAGTAAATAGAGGGCCAAAGCACAGAACTACAGTGAAATAAACACAGCTCTTCTGTGAGAAGGTCTGTGAGAAGATCAGTATTGGAGGGCAACCCCTGGGTTCTGGGGGGCTTCCACTGAGTCATTTGTGTCAGATCAGCTATTAGGCCCAGCGTGGCTCAATATACCAGCATATTATGGTCTTCTGCAATAGACCTGGGGTCCTAACTGCAAAGCAGACTGAAATTGTAGGCCTTCTTTAGGCATCCTCCCAGAAGAGCCAGGACTCTAGGAGTCCTGGCATGAGCTCCGGAGGCAGAATGATGAACACAAAGGAACAAGCTGAGGAAGGGGAAATAAAGAGATTGAAATTTTGTGAGGCCAAGAAAATCAAGAATAAACAAAACCCAGAAGTCAACCATCAAAAGCATTCTAAAGTGGAGAAGGATGAGGATGGCCCCATAGTCCAGCACAAATTAAGTAGCAGGTTCATAACAGGGAGAAGAGCAGTAGATGAGGGTGCCTAACAAGAGACAGCTTCCTTGTTGGAGGTTCAACTACCTCTAGTTCCTTTCACCAGGGTGTAAACCAATCCTGAGCAACCTCGTGGGAAGGCTTGCTGCAGATGACCCCTGCCGACGTCAGATGGTAGGGATGTGATAACAGACAGACATTTCCCCATCGGATCCGTTCTGCAGGTAACTCAATGCTCCAGAATTTGTCACCTTTTCCCTTACACGTACGTTATTTTTCCTAGTTTCAGATCCGATCGAGTTTGCCAGATGTAGGCTCATCCTTCAAAATACCTGCCATAACTTTGTAAGAAACGTTCATGTTCAAGTTTTCTTTCAGGATGGGTCCGACAGTTTATCTAAATTTAATTCTTCAGCCATCATCCTCATCATTAACTGCCTGTTTAAACAAACCAAGTGTTTGACCTTTTGTATGTTTTAATCGGTCCTGTGGGTGACTGGACCACCAGTGCGTACTTCAAACTCGAACATCTTCTTGCCCTTCTTTAAATGCCAATCAAAAACTCGGGCCCACGCCATAACTTCATCTCCACAGGCTTCTTTTAAAAGATGGCTGTTCTCACTCTCAGATTTGTTCAATTTCACACAAAATCTGTTACCAATCCTTCGCTCTAAATAGTGGTCACTCTGGCACTACACAACACAGGAAGGTTAACAGGCCACGATTGTGAGCAGAAAAGAGAAGGTAGGATCAATCGTTAAGGTGCTGTAGGTGTGATCATGTTATTCTTGCTCTGGAAGCCTCACGAGGAAAAAGTAATTGCTTTTCTGAGTTTTTCGTCCTTCAGTGTCTAGATATCGCTAGGGAGGCCCCATGTGAGAAGCCAATAGGGCCAAAGGCGATGTTGAGGAAAATAAAATCCCATACAACGCACGTCTGTGCGTCCTGGTGCAGCCAGCTCTGCCGCCAGTTTGCATGTCGTCCGGATTCCGCGGCCCGCCTAAGCGTCTTATGGAAATTTCCACAACAGATGCCTAAGTGGTGGCAACTTAAGCAAACCAGGAGAGACGCAACAGCTATGCAATGTGCACTCTTGCCCCAAATCTGCAAAAACCAGCGCACGCCAAACCTACCGAAGCAACGCCGAGCTCGCCCACTAGCCTCTGGAGACTGACCCGCGTGCGCAGTTCCGGCCCGAGCTTGGCGCAGGCGCACTGCTGCAGCTACTCCAGGCCCCGCCCTTTTCCCCGCCACACCCCGGCAGGCGTTCCTCTGTGCGCGCGGCCGCCCGCGGAGAGGTCGGCCCAAAGGAAGGCGGAGGAGGAAGGCTGAGGGAAGAGAGGGCACCCCCGGACGCCGGGGTGCATTGTGGGAAGGAGGCGGCAGCGTCCCGGGCGGGCGGGAGGTGCACCAGCGGCGACGGCGGCGGCGGCGGCGGTAAATCCTCCCGGCCGCTCACAGCACTGTGGAGCTGCGTCCCCAGCCCGGCCTCGGACCG